AAAAAAATCAATACCGAAAAACATTTATTTTAGGGGTTGAAAAAAATCACAAATCACAATAGGGTTTGCCAGATTGACTTAGCTCGGCAGCACAGTTAGGATGCACATAGCCTTTTTTTATAAGGCCTATTTTTTTTTAAGTTTAATTTGCAAAGCAATGAAAGTAATCACAGAAATAAAATAGTACAGTGGTTTTGAAGAGGTGTTTTGTTTTGTTTTTGTCAAAAACTAGAGCCATGTCATGTTTGCTGTGTTGTTTCTTGTGTTCACCTGAATGTCCAATAATTCTATACATTTTTGTTTCTTTAATAAACACTAAACTAATAGATCATAGAAAACTAAGAGCTTCTAGAAAGTGTCTCCAGATGTATCTACATCAATAGTGCAGTCTTGTAGGAAAGGCTAAAAGCCCACTGGTGTGGAAATGATTTCCCTAAATGCTGGGCTTATGCCTTATTTGTCAAATCAATCCTGTTGAAGGAGACATTTAAGTTTGCAGTCGTCTTTTAAAGTAAATACTTGCAAAGAAATTGCAGTTATTGTAAAAGCTCATATGGAATGCATCTGATGAAGTGAGCTGTAGTTCACGAAAGCTTATGCTCAAATAAATGTGTTACTCTCTAAGGTGTCACAAGTACTCCTTTTCTTTTAATAATACCGTGTGTAATATGGTAGCTCTGCTGCTTTAAGTGTCACAATGGTCCTGCTTAGCATACGACTGATTACTTAGTTTTTCTCCCCGATTTTCTATTACCCTCCCTGCAACTCCCCACCCTCCATCTCGTTAAAAAACAAAACAATCCCCAAATACGAACCATAACCACCTGCTGCTGAATTCCCTGAACAGCCAGCCAATTTCCCCTTGACTTCAACCCTGCCATCTTCCCCTTCAAGGAAAGTGTTGCATATGCACAGAATGCAGGACCAGGCCATAAGCATGATATTACAAAATGGTGGGCAGGTTAAAGATTGTCTCAGCTATGTCTAAATTAAACTGAAAAGGTCCTTTGCTGTATTAATTTTTAACAAGCGAGACAGCTACTGTATTTCCCTCCTAATAGAATAAACCATGAAGCCACAGACATTAAATATGGTTTTGTTCTACCTTTTTTATAGAAAAATCCTTTTAAAAATGTCTTTTTCTAACTACTGAAGGGAAATTTAAAATGCTGCAGCTTTAACATTCATTGGAGGGGGAGGAAGTGGCTGCGCCATAATTCTTGAAGGGCTGAAAGGAAAATTGCCTTTTCAAAATTTATGAAACAGTTTGCACCAGTCAAGATAAACATAGCAACTGTTAATCTGTCAGTTCTCATAATTTGATAAAGAAATCCAGATTGCAGTGTTAATTTAAACACAATGGGCCATTGGGACTTTGGACCACCTGCTAGCATGGCAACATCCAGAGAAGCGATCATGAGATAGAGATGATGTATAAAATTAAAACATAATAAAAAAAAAGTAAAATGTTGTCTTACAGCAGTTTAAACTTTCCAGCTCTGGGGTCTTTTTTTAATAGAGCTCTGCACCAAAATGGCACTGATTCTGAGCTATTTTGCCTGACCAAGACAGCTAGGAGTCTGTTTTGCTCCTCACACATGCAAAACTACTATTGGAATTCTGAAAGTGTAAGATCTGGCCCCAAGGAATTGACTAAGCATTCATTATTGTCCCCAATGAAGATGAAAATATCTAATTTACAAATGTGCCTTATTCTAAAATGTTCATTATTTCTTCCTTCTCATGTATAGAAACACACACACAGATTTCCATACCTAATTCTACCTACTTGCCTATTAATACATTGCTTATTATTTGCTACAACCATGGGAGCTACAAACACCCAATTTAATTTTTTCTGCATAATTCAGTATGACAGACAGATGCCAAACCTGTGCCTCGAGATGTAGCCTGTTACTTGACAAATTAGGAGAGCTGAAAACTGCTTTTTAATTTTTTCATGTTGAACAAATATGAAACGTGTTTGTATATAATCAGGACAGACCTGGCAGTGAACCAAAAAATAAATAAGAAAAGTCTGCCCACTTTTAGGGCTTATTCAGAAAATGGTGCTATGGGCACTGCCTGATGTAGTGCCTTTTAATCTGAGGATCTCAAAGCACTTTATAAAAGGTGTGTTATTCCTCCTGGTTTATCGCAAAGGAAACGGAAATGACCAAGATCACGAGTTTCCCATGGTCAGATAGCATATTAGGCAACATCAGGTCTGGGGACTGAACTCCCATCCTGTTATGACGCCAGTGAGGATCTATTTGGGCAGTGGGATCCTTCCTGCACAGAGCTCATTGCTGGATCCAGCCTCAGATCTCCTCCTAGGGCTTGTCCACATGGGAAATTTCCTATATAGCTGTAGTGGAATAATAATTTTGCTATAGCTATTCCTGTATAATTCCCCGTGTGGACACTATTCTGGAATAAAAACGACTTTATTCCGGAATAATTACTCCAATAATTGTTCTGCTATTGCTATGCCACGTCCCTCCTTCCCCTTCACACTCATCTCACTAGACTATTCGGTACCCTTCAGTACCTCTCTTATTATTAGTTTGCCACTATTGAGACTACAAGCTGATTGTGTAGCTCATCTCAGTGGAATCTCCTAGCATCGTGCCAGGGGTTCTTTCCACCTGAACAAACATCCTACTGATTAAGACAAGAGTCTACTTCCTTAACACAGCCCAGAAACCCACATTGCAGGCTGTAATCTGACACGTCTTTGTCTATAATGGACAATTTAAACATCCCTGTCATTGAATAAAAATAGTGTGGCACAGTGATTTCCATCCTCTGCCACTACCGTACACAAGGTGCAGTAAAAAATATTACTCAAATATTTTATTTACCGCAATATGACAATTTAAATGGCACGTTTTTTTTTTAATTGCACTTTGTGGAGCTATAGACGAAGAAGACAAGACTGAATTGGACCCTTTTTGTTATATGTGAGTGACGGTAAATGAGTCCCGTTCGTGGAAAAATCAGCACTTATAGGCTGGATGGATAAAAGAATAATTCAGACGTGAGTAATGAGGCACTTGCCTCATGAGAATTTCTTCCAGGAATTCACTTGCTATTCAGTTTGTCACAATAGTTTTGGTGTCAGTAGATTACACACTTTTATATATATTTACACAACAGGCTTGTGTGGCGCATTCTCTGTACACTATGTGATGTTCCTGACACGATAAAACCATTGGTCGATAAAATGCAAAATTCTAGCCTGAACGGCTACTAAGTATAATTAATTAAGAAAAAACAAAACATCTGAAACGATAAGAACATAGGAAACACACTACACAGAACAGACCAGTAACCATCTAACTTGCTCTTCTGCCTCAGACAATGGCTACTGCCAGACTATTGAAACGAAGACATAAATGGACAGATTTGTAAAGGTGTTTGGTGCTTAAAGATGCAAGTAGGTACCTAGTGGGATTTTTCAAAAGGGTCTAGTTGCTTAATTCCCAATTGTGCAGTGCTGGACAATGGGGAGGAGATGCCTTCCTGATGCCAGTTTATGCCCTGAACACACGAAGATTGATAGCCCTTTACATTGAATCCTAGTTTTTTCTAAGCATATATTATGCTTGTAAATGTCTAATCCTTTCTGGAATCTTACTAAACCCTTTGTTTTATTATCCTGTAGCAATGAGTTCCACAGATGGCATAAACTATAGTTCGCTGCCTTTTAATGTTTGTCTTATCCTTGTATTATTGGAAAGGATAAATTGGAGCTACTGACTGGTGTTTAAACTAATTTCTTTATGGTTTCAAGGAAAGAACACAAATACCTAGCAACTGCAACAGATCACATAAAATTATTCTACTATGTAAATTATTCTATTTATATTGAATGAATGAGACTGGTTGTATATGATGTATAAAGAGAAACTTCACTTTTTCCTGATAAGGTGTCATAAGGCTATGACCTTAGGGTTGTAAAAGCTGTAATAATCTATTTCAAAATAATCTATTTCAGATGACTGGATCTGAAACATAATCAGTGACATATTCCTCTTGTCATTCTAATACATTGCTGATTACTTTTGCCTCATGCATGTGAGTTGCAAAGAAGAGACACTGGCCCGTACTGAGTCCTATGGTACCACTGTACTGGCTTAGGCAAAAATGGCAGGTTTGGCAAGGAAATTAAGGAAACCAACTGAAAGATTCATGTTTAAAACTCCACCTCTTGGTGTAATTGAAACCTATAACAATTCTGGTTGATGCATTTGTAAAGACAGTGTTCTAACACCCTCCTGGTTCTAGGAACCAGAATGATGAACGTTTCTCATTTACTTGTGCATTCAGGGCTCAAATCCACACCAAAAAAAAAAAAAAAAAGCCATTAGAAATGACTTACTGAGATGAGAGTTTAGCACTTTCCTCTTTCAAAGCAATTTTCAAACTCTCTCTCTAACCGTTGCAACATCCCTGTGAGGTAGGCATTATTTTCCCATTTTACAGATGGCAAAACTGAGACAGAGTCAGACTGTGACCCATTTTATGCACACATGCAGGGAAGTAAAGGGTGCAAGGTACTCTCTTTCTCCTTTGCATTTGCTATCCATGTCACAAGGGAGAGGATAGCCTTCTTAAAGCTGCTACTCCCCTTCCATGTGGGTGGGCAGGCAGAAGCAGAAGAATGGGTGGAGCCTTACTCTGCCTCCCTACACACTGAGCTGGTATGCCTGGAGGAAGTGAGCTATACCAGACATAGAATACAGCACAACTACATTCTGCTCCTTGCTCAAGTCTTGTTTCAAAACCACAGTATAATCCAGAGTGATTAGGTGACTTGCCCAATGTTACAAAGTGAGTCAGTGTTAGAACTGGGATAGTACTTAGCAATTCTCTGCTCAGAGCTACAGACCACGCACACCTCCCTGTGAATGTTGGGTAAGAAGGATTCAGGTATAGTGGTCCACAGGGAATTATATACATGTAGTAGGTATGATTTTATGCTTTGGGGGCCAATGGCAGGTTCAAGAAAAATATTTATAGTTAAATGGCAATTAGACGTCTTTAAATTCAAGAATAAAATTTACTCTCATGTTGTCTTATAGCCTTGTCAGCTGATTCTAATTTTATAATAAATTCCTCCCCCACTACTTTTTACTATAATATTTAGGTTAAACCATAATACCTCAGTACATTAGGATGTGCAATACAAAATGGACAGAGCAATCATCTGAGCTGAATAATCTGAATACAGTAAGAAGATTAAGTGAGCTGGAACAGTAATATACTCCAATTTACAATATAAGCAGAACAAGTACAAATATTGCTTCCCTCCATTCCTGTTTCCCTCCTCTACCACGGTGCCTGTAAGACTGGCTTGGTAAAGTGGATGCATTAAAAAAAAATTGCCTCTTGGAAGCTCATAAAATTATACTAGAAAAAAGTTTTCTGACATTTGATCCACACAGACTGCAGTCATTAGACAACTGGAACCGATAGAATAGAGAGCCCTATCACAGAGCCATGGATAAATAGAAAGAAATAGCTACTTCATATATCTCAATGCTGTTTCTGGAAATCAACAAAGGCAACATATTAAGAGTCTTTATCACTGTCCACGCTGCCGTACATATCCGCCAGCTTTTTAAATCGAGGCCCCCAGTCACTGAGGTAATCGTAGTCCTGATCTCCATCCGTAGTCACCGACTCTAAAGAGCTGAGGGATTCTGCCACAGAGCCATTACCTTCATATGCGTAGGTCGCTAATGAGTCATATGGGGGCGCGGTTGGATCTGTATCATTTTCCTTTAACCTTTGGTTAATGAAATCTCTGACATCGGTGTTATCTCGTACCGCTGGAGTCCGGCGCGGCATAAAAAGTGCTTCTGGCACAATGTCTCTGCGTAATTTATTGTCTTCTATGGCTTCAGGATTTCTCAGTGTGCCAATATCAAAAGCCTGGGTGTCTTCCTCTCCACCGCCTTCATCGTTGTAACTGACAATGTTGTCTCTGATGTCCTCTTTAGAAATTATCAAAGGTTCTTTCTTCCGCTGCCGTTTCAGAGCTGCAAACAGCACCACTGTAACTGGAAACAAAAATAAAATGGAGAGACGGGGGGAGGGGAGGGGGGAAGAGTTAATTTGCCACCAATTAAAGCCAGAAAGAAATACTGTGCTGCTTGAACTCTAACTTTCAGAAGTTGCGCTGCAAAATTGCAAAATTTCTGTTTGTGCCTTGTCTGCCTGTGATCACTTTGGGAGCTGAGAGTGGGATAAATATGAGAAGAAAGAGGATTTCAAGCTAGTGGGAAGAGTCATATTTTGTCAGCGGGTTGCATTTTCCCTTAGTCGTGTAGCAGCTTTGCTCTTTTGAAATTGCCAGCCTAGTCTCAAGGCAAACCCCTCCCTCAAAATATTGTAATAGAGAGTGCAAATTAGACCAAACACCTAAAATGCTGCAAACCTTGCTCGAAGGACAAGGCTTGTTCCTATTGGGGTGTGATGAAAGCTTAGCAAAGCTGCATATCTCAACTATTTTTTTCAGTAGTTTTTTTCTTTTCCTGGAAAGAAGTGCAGAACATGGGGAAGATCCTTAGCTAGTGTAATGGTTGTAGCTCTGTTGATGTCATGGAGCGTTGACAATTTACACGCGCTGCAGCTCTGTCCCCAGAGAACAAGTATTTTTTTTTTATTATTTAATCACCAACCCCCGCCCCCCAACATTTCTCAAACAGCTTTCCCACTTTTTAATGCTTAGGCATATAATCTTTTTTGGTTTGTACCTAAGGCCCTGATACTGCAACAATCTCTAAGTGGGCAGAGTCTGGTACCTGCATACTGTCTCACTAGCATTGTTGCAGTTCTGCAGTGGCACAGAGGTCTATTCACACAGAACTCATTGCAGTACTGGGGCCCAAGACAAACTTTCCTATTACCTTGTGAAGCCAAATTTTAGTTACTTATCTTGACTCTACTTTTCATTTTTTAAAATGACATATGAATGTTTATCACTGAAAACATATAAACAGCCACAATCTGGCACTGGTATTCTTCTTATTTGTATTCTAGGATGCTGTCACGGACCAGGGCCCCATTGTGTTAGGTGCTGTACAAACACATTACAGAAAGATGGTTCTTGCTACAGTGCTCATAGTGATCTGTTCAAATAACAGATTTTTCAGGTTGTTGGTACTTCTGAAAAACTGGGAAGTAATTGTTTGGGCTTGAACATTTTTAATTTCAGCAAATTGAAAAATTAAAAAAATTGTTTTGGGTCACATGTTTAATTCAACACCAAATAAAACTTTTTGATTTCAAGCTTTTTTTTTTTAAATGTGTTTAAATTAAAAAAACCAAACAGAATAAAAGGAAATTTGTAAACGGTCATTTTGAATTGAAAAATCAAAATGTCAGAACAAAATATTACAGTTTTTTAATTTATCTTTTAATAAATGAACAGTTCAGTGAAATCAACATATATTTGTGAAATGTTTTGGTGTCACGGAAACAGCTGAAAAAAATTTCTGTTGAAAACTTTTGCCCAGCTCTATTAAATACCACTCCGTACATTTTTTTACTTTTATATAAATATACCCTTCTGGGCCTGGCCCTGAAAACATTTATTGACTCCCAATAGTGTATGCAAGCATTTCAGGGATTCAGCCCTTATTTTATAGATCATCTCTCAGGCCAGCTGTATTCCAAGATTCTTTACATAGTGTGACAAAGTTCCTCCTCTGCCTTGGTGGGTCATGTGCTTATTGGGGGATTTTCTTGCCTCAGAGGTTCACAGCAACCCTCAGTTTGGCCACTTTCGTAGCTCAAATCTGCCATTCACTCAGTTAGCCTCATCACTGGCCAGCATTGGGAAAGGAAGAAGAACAATCCCCGCAGTCTCTGTTGATCCACGTAGTGGATCAGGGAACAGGCCAGAGACCTTCCCCTCTGGTGGAACCCACTGTCCAGGTCAACTCCTCCGGTATCGAGTTGGGAGGATGGAGGGATGGGGGAACACGGACTCGCCCTCTACTCCGGATTCCAGCCCAGGGCCCTGTGGATTGCAGCTGTCTACAGTGGCTTCTGTAACAGCTGCGTGACAGCTACAACTCCCTGGGCTACTTCCCCATGGCCTCCTCCCAACACCTTCTTTATTCTCACCACAGGACCTTCCTCCTGATGTCTGATAATGCTTGTACTTCTCAGTCTTCCAGTAGTACGTCTTCTCACTCCCAGCCTCTTGCACCTGTTGCTCCCAGCTCCTCGCACGCAGACCACTAACTGAAGTGAGCTCCTTTTTAAAACCTAGGTGCCCTGATTAGCCTGCCTTAATTGATTCTAGCAGCTTCTTGATTGGCTGCGGGTGTTCTAATCAGCCTGTCCGCCTTAATTGTTTCCAGAAAGTTCCTGATTGTTCTGGAACCTTCCCTGTTACCTTACCCAGGGAAAAGGGACCTACTTAACCTGGGGCTAATATATCTGCCTTCTATTACTCTCCTGTAGCCATCTGGCCCAACCCTGTCACATATCCCACCCCTCTGCTCAACACCACGGGGTTGGGCAACTTGGGACGTAAGGCAGTGTACCCGTGATAAGCCATCTGCATTGCCATGGTGGCTTCCAGACCGGTGAATTGTATGGTGAATTGGAAAGGTTGTAGGGACAGGAACCATCTGGTCACTCTTTCATTCTTCTCTTTATTTCACTGCATCCACTGGAGGGGTGAATGGTTGGTCACAAGGATAAACTGTCATCCCAGAAGGTAATAATGTAGTGTTTCCTTGGCCCATTTCACAGCTAGGCACTCTCTTTCAACCATGGCATACTTCTGCTCTCTTGGGAGGAGTTTCCTGCTGAGGTAGAGGATTGGGTGTTCTTCATCTCTGACCACCTGCGATAGGACAGCTCCCAATCCTATTTCAGATGCATCTGTCTGTAAAATGAATTCTTTGTTGAAGTCTGGGGCTATAAGCATGAGGTTACTGCAAAAGGCCATCCGTAGATCCATGAATGCTTTCTCTGCGGCACCTGTCCACTTCACCATGTCCGGACCCCGGGCTTTTATCAGGTCTGTCAGGGGACTCGCTCTGGTAGCAAAATGGGGAATAAATCATCGGTAGTACCCCACCACACCCAGGAATGCCCGGACTTTCTTTTTCTGATTCGGCCGGGGCCAATTTTGGATAGCCTCTAGTTTGTTTAGTTGGGGCTTGACCATGCCCCTTCCTACAATGTAGCCAAGGTATTTAGCCTCGGTTAGCCCTGTGAGGCCAGCCCATCTTAGCGTGTCCAGAACCGCTTCCACCTTTTTCAAGTGGGTTTCCCAATTGGGGGTGTGAATAATCACATCATCCAGGTATGCCGCTGCATAACTGGTATGGGACCATAGGAGCTTGTCCATAAGATGCTGGAAGGTGGCAGATGCCCCATGCAGTCCAAAAGGAAGAACAGTATATTGAAACAGACCTTCTGGGGTAGAGAATGCCGTCTTTTCTTTTGCATCTTTGGCAAGGGGAATCTGCCAGTATCCCTTTGTTAAATCAAGGGAGGTCAAAAATCGGGCACTGCCCAGGCGGTCAACTAACTCATTGATACAGGGTATGCATCGAATTTGGATATCTCATTCAGTCGGCGAAAGTCATTACAAAACCTAGTGGTGCCATCACGTTTGGGCACCAACACAATCGGGCTTGACCACTGACTGTGGGTTTCTTCGATGACTCCCAGCTCCAACACCCTTTTTACCTCTGCCTTGATTTCCTCCCTTTTTGCCGCTGGGACCCGATAGGGGCTTAAAGTTACCTTTGCCCCAAGGTCTGTGATAATGTGGTGATATGCTTCGGTGGTCTGACCTGGTTTGGTTGAAAACACGTCTTGGTATCGGTTGATCATCTCAGATACCTCCTTCTTCTGGTTTGGTGTCAGATCAGTGGATATCCTGATCTGCTCCTGCATGTTATTTCCTGATCGGGGTCTCTTGGGCCACTACACACACCTCTCGTTGGTGCCAAGGCTTTAAGAGGTTAATGTGATAAATTTGTTCTTATTTCCGGCATCCTGGCTGCCGCACCTTGTAGTTTACTTCCCCCATGGGTTCAACCACCTCATAGGGCCCCTGCCATTGGGCCAAAAGCTTGCTTTCTGCCATGGGTACCAACACCATCACCCGATCCCCTGGTTGGAAGTGTCGGACTTTTGCCTGGCGATTGTAATGGGTTCGCTGGGCCTCCTGCCCCTTTTCCAATGTTCCCATACAATAGGGGTGACCCTGGCTACCCGTTCTCGCATCTGCAACACATGCTCAATTATATTTCTCCCCTCATTGGGTTCCTCTTCCCAGATTTCTTTTGCGATATCTAGTATGCCACAGGGGTGGCGTCCGTATAATAACTCAAAGGGGGAAAACCCAGTTAAGGCTTGAGGTACCTCCCGGATTGCGAACATAAGGTAGGGTAGTAGGGTGTCGCAATCCTTCCAGTCCCGACTTACCACTTTCCTTATCATTGCCTTCGGGGTTCGCTTAAACCTTTCTACCAGCCCATCGGTCTGCAGATGATAGACTGAAGTTCTCAGGGTATGAATATGGAGCAGCGTACAGAGGTCCTTCATTAGCTTCGACATAAATGGGGTACCTTGGTCTGTTCATATCTCCTTTGGTCGCCCCCTCTCAGGCAAAGATCCCCACCAACTCTTTAGCTATTGTTTTAGAGGCCGTGTTCTGCAGTGGGACGGCTTCTGGGTAGCGAATAGCATAATTCAGAACGACAAGTGTATATTGGTGGCCCCGGGCCGTCTTCTCCAGGGGTCCCACTAGGTCCATGGCTATTTGCTCGAAGGGGACCTCTATGATGGGAAGGGGTACTAAAGGTGCCCTCAAGTTGGGATGGGGACTGTGCAGCTGGCACTCTGGGCAGGACGCACAGTACCTCCACAATTCTTCATGTACTCCGGGCCAGAAAAATCGTCGCAGGACCTGTGCCAGGGTCTTCTCTACCCCCAAATGCTCCCCCCAAAAGATGACTATGGGCAAGACTTAATACAGCATTTTCATGTTTTTGAGGTACTAGGATCTGCTGTACCTTCTGCCCCT